GTGTGTATTATTTTAATAGCAAGAAGGTTGAGGCATCAAAGTGGGTAATTCAATTACCCTCATTATTATTTCTTTGATTTTGGAGTAGAAATCATGTTTACAATATTATTTTAATTCCTAGTATCATGCTTAGGATGTTTGTATGATTTCTAGTATCATGTTTAGGATGTTTTTATGATTTCTAGTATCATGTCTAGGTCAACGCTTTGATTTTGTTATTAGTAACATGCTAGGATTTGTTATTAATCCGTTTAGTATCATAAGATCTTACTATTAATGATATTTTGATGATGTAATGATGATAATTGTTGTATTGATCATATGTTGCTTGATTATTCATGATTTATTGTTATTACTTGATCACACCCCTTTTTGCAGGTTTAAAGGGAATTTGTACTAGAAATCACGCCTAATAAGATAATTAATCATTTAATTTAGGCTAATATGATTTTAGTTCAAGTGATCACTAATAATAGATTTGATTACGCATCAATAATCAACCAACGTAGATTAAACAGGTTTAGGATTAACTTGATGTATGTATGTTGATCGAGAAGCGCATATAAATATCATAAGAATTTAGTACAGGCCTATTTAGGGCGGGTTCAATCACTTTTAGGTTGGATTTGTACCATCATTCCCGAGCATCCAGTCATGGTTCCGGACCACTATGGAGTTAGTGATCTCTGTGATCATGAATAGGGTGTAACCTTCACACACCCGTGAACGGTTTACAAGTTCCTAAAACTTGTTGGCGACTCTTTTATCTCTAGCTTCTTTTTTTTGGAATGCTGCTATGCCTAAAAGCATGAACCACCATAGGGCTCAAAGACGAGTTTGAAAAATTCCCTACAACTGCTCAAACTTCCCAGTCCACGCTCCTCTTCGGTGGTCAGCTCTCCTAACTCCCACTGATCTGTCTGAGTCTCTCCAACCTTGTTCAGCCTTACTCAGCATGGCCCTGTCACATATGCTTTTATGAACTCGTGAGCTTATCCCAATGCTTCTGCCAGTGTTTTAAGACTTTTACGTCCCATGTAAGCTCTGAACGGTGATCCAGGCAAGAGTCCACTTTACATGGCCAACAAGGCTACCTCCTGACTCATATCTGGGATCGTTGTTGCCTCCTTATTGAATCAAGTAATGAAATCTCGTAAGGGCTCCTCCTTCCCCTAAACTAATGACATCAGCTTTGTAGTCATTTTAGTACGATCTACGAGCGTGATGAAATGTTCCATGAACATCCTCTTCAGCTGGTTATATAAGTAAACAGATCTTTTTGGAATGGCTCCACACCATTCAGCAACCAGCCCTTCTAGAGTTAGGGGAAATGCCTTACACCAAACTAAGTCGGTCATGGTATATAACACCATGTGGTTTTCAAACCTTGAGACATGATTCTTAGGTGTCGTGGTGCCATTGTACTTGCAGCTGGGCATCTTGATCTTCTCCATTAGTTCTTCCAGAATCTCCCTGCAAAATGGGGAATCATCTGGAATCACCTGGAGCCGTGCATGCTTTCCCCTATCCAGGCTTGGCCCTCGCTCAGAGATCAGATATCTACTGCGAGTGGCTCATGCCTCCGGGCTGCCTTTCTCAACTGCTGGATCTTCTCCCCACTCCTAGTTTAGATTGCGAGCTTCCAACTCTAGGACCTTCTTCCTCAATTGGATTAGTTCGTTTTGCTCCGGGGTGAGATCTGGTGATGCAGGCTTCCTGACTACTGGCTCCGAAGTAGCAGCAATTGATGTTGAGCCTGTTCCTTTGTCAAAGTTAGTGAGTACTGCATTATTGCCGCCAGTTGCTCTTTGCTACACTTGGAGAGGTTTTGGAGGATGGCTGGCATATTGACAGGCTGAGATTTCTGGGTTAAAGGTGTTTGGATAATCGGTTCATTGTTCGGGCCTGTTACTGGCATTCCAAACTTAAAAAAAGAGCTGGATCCCACCAGATCTACTGGTTTCACCATTGCTTTTGTTACACCAGGCGTCAATCCGACGGGGTTGGTTTTCTGGGTTACATTTGATTTGGGTATTTCGGCAAGCTGTTGTTTGTGGTGTCTGGTTGTTCTCAATTGCTTTTAAGGTTGGTGTTTGCATTGCTTCCTCTTCGGCCATGGCGGTTAACCAGCCGGTCCCTACTCAGTTGGCGAAATTTAGGTTCAGATGATCCTTTCCCCTCCTTCTAGCGCCAATTGTTCCGGGTACAAATCTGGCGGTTCTAACTGGAGCAGGTTGGGTCCAGCTGGATAACCTGCACAGGGTGACAAATGTAACTTCCCTCGGGGGTGGCTCGAGGAACCCCCCTTCCGATGCTTAAGTTAGAATTTATTTAGAGAGAGAAAGTGTACTTAGATAGAGGGAGAGTGTGTAATAACTCTTGTGTCTAATTTCTTTTCCATTGTACTTGGTTTCTTATTTATAGTTGTACGATCTCCTTTGGACGGAGTCATACTTGGTCAGCCTATAAGCTGACTCTATCGGGCTGGTGAGCCCTTTTGAGTATTCTTCTAGCGATGAGTGCACACCCCGTGAGCAAGGCTGCGAGCGTGGTGATAGCTCAGCATGAGCTATCCCACAACAACAATAATAATTTATAACTGAAAAGATTCAACTCATTTACACTTTTTGTGTTTTTTAAGTGTTATACTTTAACTAGAAAACAGTCTTAGGCAATTTAATTGAATTAAATGAGCGTATTGATATTGTTAATGAAGGCAAAAAAAGCCACATCCAAGGCCAAATTATCTACCCGCTATCCATAATCTATGAGAATCAATATATGCCAAACTTATTAATTTAATGAAATATTTTGCAATATTTTTTAATCTTTTGTAATATGAAGTATATTATTACCTATAATTTTAGTAGCTAAAAATTCTAAATAAAATCATTCCAACTCCACCAACTGATTATTCTCGTCAAAATCCGCCATTAATTATTCACCATCATAGAGTCATTAATTATCGTATGTTCTTTGAGTTTGATCCGTATGATTTTTACATTATAACTTATGTTCTTTTAACATATGTTATTTTGAATTTTGAAATTTGAAGATGAAATCTTGAATTATTTTTAGTTGAAAATAATATTAGACAACGAAAACAATAATTATTGTGGGAAGTTGAATTTTTGGAGAGAATAAAAACTATTTTTGGAAAAATGATATCTTTGGTAAAAAAAAATTTCGTTAATGTGTAATTTTTTAGGAAATTTTAATAAAGTTTTAATCACGTTCTTTTTGTTATGTCTTTATATTCTTTGATAATGCATGTTCTTTATCAAACACATGTATGTTTTTTGTCAAACATAAGTATATTCTTTTGGCCTTTTTTTATTTAATCGGATGCACCCTGCGCATGGTGCACTATGTACATTATGTTTTGACTGTATTGGTTGTATAGTTGGCATATAAGTCTAGATTACCAAAAAATATACATCGGTGAACGAGCTAACTAGGTTTTATGTAGATGATCTACAGTTTATAATGTATGTAGTCAACTATATTTATGAGCTAGATTTTTGGCTGTTAAGTACATAGGGACCACCTATATGGAAAATAACACCTGTTAAAAGACCTAATTTTGTTTTTAACACCTTAAGATTTCGAAGTTTAATTATAACACCTGTTAAAAAATAAAAATTTTGCTTTCACCACCTAAATTGGAACAACGTTAGAGGATCTGTTAGCTGGGCCCACAATAACGGCTATTTTTTCCAAACTGCTTTATATAGTTACGACATCCTTCACTAATGTAGAATTGTTGAGCTGATTACACAAAATTGCTTCACATTTTGCGAATTCTGACTAACAAATTGGCGAAATTGTTTGATTTTACCATCATTGTTTGGGGGACGTAGATATCAAATCAGGTAATTGCGTCAATAGCACTTTAGAAACCCTAATTTATCTTTCAAAAATAAGGCGTAAATTAATCTATATGTTGTTGACTTAAATGCATAATTCAGGTCGTATCTGGCAATAGTCATGTAATTCGTAAATAGTTAGGGTTCATTGTGTGTTAATTGTGCTGTAATTTGCGAGAAAATGAAATTAGGGTTCATTGTAGAAATAATTTGGGGGTTTTGATTTGTAGGAGTGACTGTTTAATTCCCTTGGTTCAATTGTATTTTTTTCATAGTACGAATGGTTTTGCTTATTATGGATGGCAAATTGGTGCAGGAAATGTCTTCTACAAGTTTCTCACCTTCAAAGGAGAAGAAGTGCAAATGTGGTGTTCCCTTTGCAAAGCTTACCAGTTGGACAAGGGAGAACCCTGGTCGTAAGTTCAGAACATGCAAGTTCTACGATCCTGTAACTGAGAGCAGAGGTTGTAAAGCATTTGAATGGGTGGATGAACAAGATGGGACAGCCTGGCAAACAGAGGTGATCAACAATTTGTTGCTAGATAAGAAACTGTTGAAGGGGGAAATTAGTGATTACAAGAGGGAAGTTGATGATCTTGGTGGACAGTTGAGGTGCTTGCTGAATGAAGTGGACAGGCTGAAAATGAAATGCAAGGCTTTAAACTCTGACAGGAACAAGATGAACAGAGAGATGCATGGAAGGAATGCTAGATCAGATCACTCTGTTCTTAGTCTTGCTGTTGGGATTAGTTTGGTCATATTAGTGATCCTTCTTATTAGGGGGTTTGTAATGCATTAAGTATAACTTGTAATGCTAGTAATTGCATGAAACAGTAATATGGTAATGTAATGATTTATAAGTGGCAGTGAACCACTATTGCAAGCAAACTAATGTACACAATTATGAAAGCAAAGAATTAAGTAAGTACCTAAGTAGTTGATATTGCATTTAAGTTGTTGATCAAATTTGTTGTTGCAGTGCCTAACAAAATTGGCTGGTAAAGCCTTACAGCAAAGTATTAATTTAACAAAACAGGATCCTTGTCCTATACCCAAAAGTAAAGCTACAAATATTGCAACTGATTGTTCAGAAAATACAACCAACAACTAAAGTTCAGAAAAACAATTCAAACATCATTGTGTCAGCCCTCCTTGTCTGGAAGTCAGCAACTTAGCCCTCCTTGTCTGCACTCCAGTAGCATTGGGTTCAGGTTGGCTGGAAGAGGGGGTGGTGTGATGCTTGGCTTGTGGCTGCCCTTGTTGACTGTGTGAACCTTTCCTCTTACTCAATGGTTCACAGCCAGGTTGCTCTTGGGGAAAAGTCCTATTCCCAATGCTGTTTGGACCAGCCCCTATTGCACTCTGTTTATTAAACACAAATACCAATAAACAAGTATCAACATCCAATTTCATCACAAATTTTAAAAGAAAAGTTACAAATCCAACAGCATACCTTCTTAGCAGCTTTGATCTCCCTCTTCTTCCTTTGCTCAACTACCCAAGGTGAATTTAAAGGAGGCCTTCCTGCAGTTCTCTGCTCAGTTGGTTCAGGTTCATGTGGGCCCTTGCAAGTCTTGGGATAGTGGCCAAATCCACCACAAATCCTACACTGACTTTTCCTCCTCTTTCTTCCCTGCTCCCCTCCTGTTGCAGATGTTCCCTCCCCAGGTTCCAGCTTCCTCTTCTTCTGTTTAGGTCTTCCAGGCTGCTGTTTGAATGCTGGTGGATGAGGCTCTCTCATGTTCACTCTCTCCCAATGCTTTGGGCCTGGCATAGGTTGAATTGCAGGCTCATATGCTGCTCTGTAAGTGTCCATAGTGTAATAGGGGTGGACAAACTGCTCAGCATCAACCCTCTGATCCATTATGCATGCAAATGCATGAATACATGGGATGCCTGTTAATTGCCAGTGATTGCAGGAACAAGACCAATTTGGCAAGTCAACTAGAACCTGGTCATCATTCAGCTGCACTTCATAAGTGTCATCCCTGGCAGCTTCAATTATGCAATTCCTAGCCACATAGCTCATCCTCTGAAATAGCTTATGCACATATGGAGTGATGTTGGTTGTGATTTCCTTGGAGTCCTCCCACTTCTCATTATTTCTCCTCATCATGTACCTCCTCATCCATTCCATTTGGGTGAGGATAGGTTTGTCTCTTGCATCTCTGATAACAGAGTTGAAAGTCTCACACATGTTGTTTAGTAACATGTTGGACCTGCAACTGTCACTGAATGCATGTCTGCACCAGTGATGAGTGGGGATGTTCTCCAAATAATTGTAAGCATCCTCATCAAGCTCCCTAATCTGTTGCATGGCTATCTGAAACTCAACCTACAACCACAACAGGAACATTATCATGAAAGAATAACATACACAACTGTTGTTGCTCTTATTTTGCTTTTATACACAACAGGAACATTATTACATGAAGTAGGTACATGAACAGGAACAATATCATGCATTTACTTATTCAAAATAATTTAAGGTCACCTAGAGACTTACAAATGTTGTTGCTCTTGCAGCACTCCAAAAGAGCTCTTTGAAAACTGATCCAGTGAACTTCAACTTGAAATTTGCCCAAATGTGCCTAACACAGAACCTAGTCTCTGCATTAGGCACAACTTCAGACAGAGCTTCAACCAGTCCCTGTTTAACATCATCAACAATTACTTGTCACACTTCAAACAATAAAGCACCCTATCCTTGATTTTCTTAACCTTCCATGATGGGTTAGTTCTGAAATCCTCAAGATACCTCTCAGCAATGAACTCTGATGTGACCTTCTTGTTCTCCCTGCTTCTCACACATTTATGCTCCAACTTCATGGTTTTTATTTGCCAAGTCTGTTGTCTTTTTAACTTAGTAGCATGGATCTTGAAACTACACTTCACTCCACCCCTGCATATACACAAAGGCATCCTACTTGTCTTTGTGTCAAACTTGCACCCACACCTATTCCTACACTGAATAGTAATCCTAGTACTATCATTGTGTAAAAAATAGTACTCATACCTATTCTGTATGGCATGCACTCTTAAAGCTTTCCTCAACACTGTAGCATTGCTAAACCTAAGCCTATGAACAAGTACAACAGGCTTTGAGAAGTCGGATTTGTCATTAAACCATGGACTTTTGTCCTCTTCATCAGATGAACCATCCAAGCTCCTTAGGTCATCTGATTCTCCCTCAATTTCTTCTTGTAGTTGTACCTCATTCACATCCAAGTTATCTGTCAACCTTGCCTTTGGATCCTTGGAAACCCCCTCATCATGTACATCAAACTACTTCCCAAGACTTCTTGTTACCTTAGCTAAAATTTCTTCAGAATTCTGCACAAACCACCTCTCATCCCCACTGTCATACTCCTCCTCTCCAGGCTCCCAAGTTATGTCAATCTCACTCCCATCACTTGAAGAAAAATCATCTTCCCTCCCAGTCTCACTGCCCTCACTACTATCCTCAAAAATCAATCCTTTGCCTACAGATTTTTTTTTTCCCTTTCCCTTATCCAACACCTTCACACTGCCAGAACCCCTTTCAAGCTTAGCTTTACCCTTTTGTTTCCCCTTACTCAACAACTTCCCTTTACCAGGAACCCCCTTAATCTCAACAGAAACCCCTTCAACCCTTTCTATCCCCTGTCTAGATCTAGGTTTAGGAGATTCTTCACCCTCCCTCACCTTAGGCTCATTTTTGTTAATTCTTGGGCTCTTCCTAACTACAGCAGGCTTACCTGAACTTTTCTTCCCCTTTCTCTCAGCCTTTACTGGAGTGGACTGGGCCTGGATCTCATGTATGGGCCTTAATGTTTCATTAGCAGTCACAAATACTTCAACATACCCTTCCCCATTCACTGTCTCCAGCAGCCCCTTCACTTCCTCTTCATTTACTAACTCCCTTCTCCCTGTGTTAAAGGTCCTACCTCTTTCTTTATACCAAAGTCTGTAGTTAGGTGGGACATGGACATTAAAGTTCACAAACCCATGCACAGCAGCTACCCTCAAATAATGCAAATCTATCTTATCCACTACCACATCCCTCCTCCAATAACATAACCCACCACACCAACAAAGCAAATGCTTTGATTTTGACACTTGTTTAGTAACAAAAGCACCCCCTACTCTAAATACTATATCAATTAATCCATCTTCGTTGTCGGCCATTTTTCTACCTAATAAACAAATGCAAAGCAAATCAATAAAACCCAACATAGCTAACCCCATTACACAGTCAACCGCAATACTTTAATCAACAAAATCAAACATATTTAAACCAACACAATGACAAACCAGTCAACAGTCAATAAAATCAATGATTTAAACTAAATAATTCACACATTACACTAAATCATACTTAATTTAATCAAATTCAACTTTAATTACAAATTAACCCATTTTACTGTTCTTAGGGTTCCTAATTTTTTTTCCCAAATTACCCTACTACACCCACACAAATGGCATAATGCAGCACACAGTACTTGTTGAAAACTACCTTAAAGGGTTCGAAAGGTACCTGTATTGGAATCTTACTCCTGTTGCTGTCAGAATCCACGAAAAAGTCCAAGCTTTTTGGATGTTGGAAATGGCTGACGGAATCTCGCTGACTTGTTTCGCTCCAATATTGACACCTCCTCTTCCAACTCAATTTCTCAATCACAATAATCAGTATAGGGTTTGAATGTTCGCAGTAATTTTGGTTGTTCAAGATTTGCAGACGAAATTCAATGAAGCAAAATTAGTTGGGTGGTAATAAATGACAGAGAAGATAAATTCGAATTGAAGGGGATGGAATTTGGAGGGTAAACGACTATGTGGGCCCCACCAAAAAATTCCGTCACAGTTTCTGTTATCTGGTGGTGAAAGCAAAATTTTTATTTTTTAACAGGTGTTATAATTAAACTTCGAAATCTTAAGGTGTTAAAAACAAAATTAGGTCTTTTAACAGGTGTTATTTTCTAATTAAGCCATAGATTTATGTCCACAAGATAATATTATACTTTCATACAACCAGTATTTGTGCATTCATAAACTCATAATTATGTAATGCTAGGTAATTATATCATGTTAAATCACACCCTTTTATACAATCAACGAATAACGCTATACACCTACAAATGGAGTAATGGACCATTTGTATTTGAAGTAACAACAATGTAACCGTTGCTAATCAAATTCAAAATTTTGATAATCGTTAATATCAAATCGATCAATATACGTAGTAAGACCCAAGGTTGCACCCTTGAAAATTATTTGGAAACAAAATAAAAATAAGTAATTTTTTTTTGTGAACGAAAGAAGACGACGATGTACCTGTAATATTTACGCCCCTTTATGCAACTGCAAATCTTTGACCCGAAGATATCAGGGTACGAGAATAATCAATGAGGGTGTATTTTAAATGCCGCAATTGTGATTTTTTTTTACAAATGATTCTTATTCGTGATGAAATGCATTTGTAATTGTTCAGTACTGGCAGTCCTTGTATTAGTATTGCTCGGTTAATGTTCTGTTACTATATTCCATTCCATTATAGAACATATTTATAATAAAAGAGTTTGTGCATAGCTGATTTTATACATGGCCATCCAGACGGACATGGTTGGAGAAAGTCATTTGAAAACATAATTTGATGGCATTAATAAATCGTATAATTTGTTACCATTGTTCAAAGATTGACTACATTGTACTATTGCAATTGCTGCAGTTCTAATCAAGTGAGATTATTCATCAAACCTCGAAGAATAACCACAAAAAAATCAATATACCTACTCTTTTGCATCACTCAACTAATTTTTCCGCACAGATTGATATTCCTGTAGGCGTGAATACATTATAATTCATCAAAATCAACTATAGTATAATTTGTATCGACAAATGAATGAACGATCAGCAACTCCTGGGCGAGAAGTCTGGTTGACCAGTGGAAGTGAGGCATCTATGCCACATTCTACTATTAGGATTCACAGTTCTAGGAGCATGTATCACTTCTGTGATTGGCAAGTACACATAATGAGTGTTACAAATTCCCATCGTAATTCCGCTAAACCCTGCAAAGGCACCATGAACCTGCAAACAGGATTTTAACTTCATTATAATGTTATCTTATATGGAGTAATTGTTCACTAGGTTGTTGGCAAGGTTGAGGTTAATGATTTTCTTCTATTATAAGGTGCTGACAGTTTAGATACACATCACATATCCATGCAGTCCATGAACATTTAAATGAAGGACCTTGTACAAATTGAACTATGGCTGCTTCATACAACTCATCATCCTAATCACATTCTTCTGCAAAACTAGCATAATACTTGTGCTTAGATCTAGACTCTTCTTCTAAACACCGCTCATATGCCATTACTGCACTAGACAATGCTACAAAATCAGAAAAATATTTCTTTCTAAAAGGAAAAGGCAACCCTTTTTGGACTATGGGCACAAACTCTTATTTAGGTGTATTCAAATGATATTTGATCTTTGCGTTCTTAAATCTTATAATGCAGTCTTCTATTGGCCAACTCTCGGGTTTGACCATCCTCAAACTTGAGTAGTTGCTTGGTCAAAATAGACTACTCAACTTCAAACAGCTATATCTTTTTCGTTACAAAGAATTTATAGGTGGTTCAAGTTGAAGATGAAAGAAGAGTCCAAGAGCTATCCAACGATAGTTCATAAGCCCGACTTGAGCGAGAAACGAAGAAGTTATGCATTTGAAGTTAAACTATCCAGGCCAAAAGTTCGCTCGAGTCTCTATAAGGTTTACCTGAACTTCTTAGAATTGGTCTTTGTAATGTTATCTTATATGGAGTAATTGTTTACTAGGTTGTTGGCAAGATTGAGGTTAATGATTTTTTTCTATTGTAAAGGTGCAGCAAGTTAAGATACACAGCACATATCCATGCAGTCAAAGATCCCTTGAAATGCAAATGTATAAAGCAGAACAAATGAGTAAGCCAGCTATGTAACCCAAAATCTCATATTAGATAACACTCATGAGTTACTACAAAAGTCACCCGAAATGCAAATGTATAAAGCAGAACAAATGAGTAAGCCAGCTATGTAACCCAAAATCTCACAACAGATAACACTCATGAGTTACTACAAAACTCACCCAATAACCCATAAAATACAATCCAAGTCTGAACATAAACTCATCCTGCGCTAGACATGCTCTTCTAAAAAGTAAAAGCGGAATCATTATGGGAAAGTAGAACTACCTTAAGAAAAACCGAAGCAGATATATCCTATATTACTTGAACTATTCATAAATTGTTAGGGTTCATTTGAAGCATCCAACTTAATTGGCCATGCTCTTCTTTTTCTTTTCTTCTTTCAAAGATTTACATCCAAAATTGAATAAACCAGGATTTATAGGAGGATCAGTCTACGGGAGATTGTAATCCAACATATTGACTATCTAAGTTTTAGAGAACAAGAGCTGCATGAGCATATAATATTAACTGAAGGTTAACGCCTGTTTTTTGAAGTTGTATGCGCAAGAGAGTGTGTGTGTGTGTGCACGCCAGGGAGTATGTGTGTAAGAAGCTTTTAAGCCTTTATTGTTTGTGGTACAAGTCATACAACAAATCCTTTCCTTAAAGCCTACATTCTTCATATAACTATTACCAGACAATATATAAATATATCGAACCAAATATAGAAAACTTACAGCATTTTGGCCAAGAACAGTACACAATATGGCATCAGAAGCATTTGCACGTACTGATCGGACCATGTAGGTAGGATCAATGTATTTGACATCAGAATGAATACCCTTCTCGTTGAAATAACTTTTTATCTGTGGAAATGTTTACAATTTCTCATGTCAGGGTATTAGTGGGAACATCGCATGGTCTCATAGATAAGGGAAAAAGGAGGAAGAACTTTTTACCCAAAAAAAGGATATGAAGAGCATTGAAGAAACAAAAAACCAAGCACAGAGAAATTATATACTTAGATTACCTGGTTTTTAAAATGTACTCCAATATCTCCAAGAACAGCATTTCCAGATGCGTCTTTCAGATCTGGTGCAGACAACAGTTCCTGAAAATGAATAGAGCCATTAATTGTGGAATCAATAGATTAAGCTATAGTGACACAAATATTTTTTGTTTACTCAACAAACTGAAGGAAATCCTGGTTAGAGAAACTCAACTACCTGGTCTAAGTTAAATATGTAACACTACTACCTTTTCTATGGTGACAAATTAAATTACTGATCAAATAAATCTTCTTTCCATTGATAAATCTGGAAGCAGTGGACAGTGACATTTCACATGTAAATAGTCCCTATTCTGTCCATTAAGATTACCTATTAGCTATTGATACAGCTGTTTTGCTCTTTGTTTTACACCAGGAAAGATCACCGTAACAAATTTCAATAGGCAAACAAGAGAAAACACTTTTCTTTTTTGTTATATTTTTTATTTTTTTAATAAAGGTAAGGAAAGAGAAAGCATGAGGAGCCTCTCCTCAGGAAAAAAGCTTGAAACCACAACCTCTTGTAGTAAAGCAAAGGTGTTACCAGCTAATTTATACTAATTTGGTAAAATGACTAAAATTTGGCGAAAAGGGTTGCACACGAGGACTTTCTAGAAAATCACCTATCTTAGTACTACTCTTGCCCAAGCATGATTAATTGCAAAGTTTTGATGGATCTAGTGCATTAGTGCTGGTATAGTCGCACCCAAAAAGGTTGAGTCTGAGACAACCGTGTGAGCATCCCACAGCTCACATAGGAACTGGGGAATGATCCTCTACTGCACCCATGATCCGAAGATCAAATGACAGCCATAATTCATGCTCAAATAACACATTTATCATTCTTCCACCAGAATTTTAGAGATCAAGAATACAGAGGTCTGATCCTATAGACCAGACCCTGTTCAAGGTCATTGACATGTCTTAACTACAACACACAGTAACATACAGCACATAGATACTTATAAAAACATGAATTTAATTAGATTACCAATTTTAGACAGTAAGCACTTAATTCATGTGAAATCAACGATGCTAAATATGCACTTCATTATCCATACGATCAGCATTTCCAGATTCGTCTTCTAAGCCTTGCATCTAGCACAGCCAATAGAATTTGAACAAAGCCCATGGAAACCAGAACACATAGATTAATTAAACACATTCAAACACCATATTAACATTTCAATTGTAATTGTAACCATCATTTATTTATCATTCTATCCAAAATATTATTCCTATATTAACATTGAGCAACAAAGGGTATAATCGATATTTCAGGGGCACACCATAGCCACCTTTGGCTTATATAACAGACATTATCAATCAATCAATCAATCAAAGCCTTAACCCCATATGTGGGGTCGGCTACATGAACCACAGGTAATTATTTCGTATATTCATCCACAAAAATTTTCCTCCTCCATCCTTTACGATTAAATACCTCATTCTCATGCAAATCTATTTACTTCATATCCTTCCTAACTCCTTCCAAACAAGTCATTTTCGGTCTCCCTCTACCTCGTTTAAGCTCACCATGATCCCACTCTTCCATTCTTCATACCGGTGCACCTTGGGTCCGTCTTACATGCCCGAACCAAGTGGATTTTCCCTTAGTTTGTGCAACACCCACTTTCTTGCGAATAACTTCTAATTCTATCTCTTAGAGTGTTCTCGCATATCCATCTTAGCATGCGCATTTCCGTAACCTCTATCATTTTAATGTGCTCTTTCTTAGAAGCTCGTACCATAAAGCAACACTGGCCTTATGGCAATCCTATAGAATTTCCCCTTCAACTGTATTGGAATGCTACGGTCACATAACACTCCCGTGGCTGCTCTCCATTTAAGCCACCCTGTGGGCCACGTCTCGATCAATATCACCATTCTTCTAGATTATCGACCCAAGGTATTTAAAACTCACTCATGGTCAAACCCTTCCTGTCCAAACTCACTACTCAGACATTAAAAAAAAAAAAAAAAAGTGACTAAGTAGAAATCAGGAGTGCATGTTAGGATTTGGAAGTGGTGAGGGGTCAAAAACATTTTATGAAACATGCACTTGTCCTAATAGCTCAATCACTAGATAAATGTTTATCCCTTTTGGAACTACATCCTTTTAAATGATACTCCCTGTGTTTCCATCTGATAGTCCCATATGGAATCAATCACATAAAATAAAAAAAGAAGAATATTTGGAATCTAACAGTGTTTATAATTAGTTTTGCCTTATTTTAATTTTTTTTATTTTTTTGGGAAAGTATCAGCCATAATTGCATAATTCAAGGGAGGGATTTCCTTACTTAGAGCCAAGTCATCAATCAACAATCAATTAATTTAATCAATCATAATTTAATATGTATAAAATAGAAAATAAAAACTAAGTTAAAAATGGAATACATTTAATATGGGTAGATATTTTTGAAACGCCCAAAATAGTATATGGGACTAACAAATAGATTCGGAGGGAGTACAAAACAAGAATCATAACACATTAAGAAAAAAAGAAGAAAAAACAGATTCTCTGCTATGACTTGATATTCAATGAAGACAGAAATTATGACAGAGATTCACTGACAAATGACATGACCAATTTGAAAAACATACTTGTCCTGCACCTTCAGCCACACAAACTACAGCTGCCCCTTTTGTTCGTATAAGATGTTCCAGGTGCGGGAGGACACCATTCGGTTCATCTAAAGTAAAAGGGACCTGCAAAAACATACAAATATCATTCAGCCAGACCCCAATAATTCTTGTAATTAGCAAGCCTGCAGGGAGAGACAGCAAAGGTCAGACAAATAATAAATCCATGAAACTCACCTCAGGAATTAGACAAACGTCAACTTGGCCACTAGCAAGTGATGCATGCATGGCTATGAAACCACTACTTCTTCCCATCAGTTTCACGAGGCCGATACCGTGATATGCACTATGTGCCTACATAATCCAAATGGTGCTTAAATTTCAAACACATAACATGAAAGGAAATACAAAGCAACACATCACAAATAAGGTAATAAGTTATTTATAGAGGACAGTTTGGTAATCATGTCAACTGACCTCAATATATGCAGAATTGATTGCTCTCTGTGCTTCTTCCACTGCAGTATCAAATCCAAAGGTTTTATCCATCAAAAGTATGTCATTGTCAATAGTTTTTGGCACGCATATAACTGAGACCTTCAACTTTCTCTTGCGGCACTGCATGAAATTAAACAAATAGTGAAAAATAAATAAATAGATAAAAATAAAACTAGGTATACAGCAGTTGTATCTACAATGGCATGCGTGATGCTGCTATAGATTGCCACTACCAACAAACATACTATATTTAACTAGTGATATTTCTAGGGTACACCATCATAACTTCTAGTACTTCTTGAATCACCCGGAGGACATCCATTATTTATACAACTTCAAAGGACAATGAAGCCTAATGTAGTAAAGCCATAGAGGCACCAAACTGCAATGATTTTCCAGAAGATCTAGGCTAGATAGCTGTTAATAAAAAGAGCATATGTAAAGATCTGTGATAACAACATGCCTCTACGGGTGAAGGGGGAGTTACATAAAATTGTTGTTATAATGAATTGAGATACTGAGCTTTCGAGGAAAATAAATTTGGAAGCAAAATGTAGCGGATATGTATACATTAAGAAGGATGTGTGGAAATAAGAGAAGAGATGTAATCTGCAGCAAAGAGATTCACAATTGGGCAGGAGTGACAGAAATGAGGATCAGATGAACAAGAATTTATTCATTGATTTGGACATATCCAACACCAACATTAGGAGCCATCAATTCAGGAAAGGGGAGTCTGAAGGATGGAGATACTAAAAAAAAGTCTGGGTACACAAGAATGATCGATGGAAGGGGTTAAAATAAGAAATGATAAGGTTCAATCTTCAGGATCATAGAGCAAAAGTGAGAAGAGGAGAAGATTTCGTAGTTGTGACTTATAAAGATGACATCTTGGTTCATGTAATTGATCTCGTGCGATTAGAACTAATATTGAGATATTGTTGTTTTTGTTGTATGGAAACTATAGCATATTTTATTTGTTGAGTAAACAATTACTACTACCAGATGCACTGAGACACTCCACTGCTTGTTTCCATCTAATTTAAACATGTGCTTATAACATAGGTATCTAATAATGTGCTCCAAAGGTTATTACATAGGCACTGTTCAGTAATCATATACTTCCTCCATTTCTTTATAGTTGCAACACTTCTCTAAAATAGAATTGTCACAATAGTTGCAACACACTATAAAAGGAAGGTTTTTATGGCAAAAATTGTACTATTACCTTTATTTAAAGCTCATGGCCCACTTGATTATACTCCTAACAACCTCTTAACACCATTTTAAGTGTATTATATCATGTGAGGTCCACTTTTCTTAAATACCGTGATAAAGTGTGTGTTGCAACTATAAAGAAACAGAGGAAGTTTATAAGATCTATACTTAGAGTTTTACGAAAACACGAGTCACTGCAATATACAAAACCTCCTGTACGGCTATACTACTGAAGCTGAGAAGATCTTTCCGTAATTGTACATAGAGAGGAAGCACTATGAAAATCACACCCATACGGTACTTTCTAAATTTAATGGCTATCTTAGTTTGAATATCTAGAAAAAAATTCCTTATCAAATATACCTCATTATGTATCGCATTTGCTCCTGCATGTGTACCATTGCCACCAAGAATGAAAACCATGTCAATCTCTCTTGCCTGAAAATGATAAAAAAGAAAAAAAAAATATTATATTTACAATTTTATCTTTGAGCTACACTACACATTCCAACACTTGATATAAAAAAAGCCTGGAGATTTAAAAAGGAGAGCATAAGTGGGTAAGAGATTTGAATACCTCTATACTATCTACAATATCGCTCATACTGGCACCTCCACGAGATACTCCCAAAAGACTTCCACCTTCAAGATTGATGTCTTGGACGTGCTCACGAGAAAGCTGAGGATTTTTTGAGATATTACTATAAGACTATTGACAGAATAAGATGAACCAATCCAGAAAATTAGTCTAACCTTCTTCATAGGTAGTTCAGGATCGAAAAATCCACGGAAGCCATATCTAACACCAAATATCTTTTGAACACCATATCTTTCCAGAGTTAAAAAAATCTGCATAAGTACAACACAAATGAGCACCCTATTGCATCTTGTAAAACAAAAGTGAAGCAATCATGATTGTCGGAAGAAAGAATATAATTAGGAAAGATATTATACAATGCTGAGGCAAGTATTCTCAAATTGAAACATAAACAGCAAAAGAGCATGGGTCCATCATAATTAATTCCCAGGGTAAGTTTTGTTACTTGTTACTTATGGGCCATTTTTCTTAGGTAGAAAATGGCAGAGGAAAACCTCATTTTCCACATCATCAACCAACTGAAAACTTTCCTTCATCTCCTATAATAATAAGCTCCTTTACACTAACTTGACATTATCTATTAAATTTTATTGCATCATACATGAAGATAAGACATACACATTCAGTCACACAATAAAGATTTTCAGCAAAAGTAGACCATAAAGGTCCTTCAGCTACTACAAGTAGAAAGAGCCCAGTAATTAATGATATGTGATCCCATTCATCATTAATTTTGCATCACTGCTACACATATTCAAAGCATAGTGAAAGATTTATCATATCTTAGATCTTACAGTCAACATTACCTCCAAAAGCAAAGCCTGGAGAAGGTTAGTAGACAAGAACTCCCAATTGAGAACACTAAGCTCATGCTTCACATTTTCCCAGACAAGGTAATAGTTTTACACTACATACTGCCCTTCTATCTTCCACGCATTTTAGGCATGGGTGTATGTTTAAACTTGATTATTCAAGAACATGACAGCATATAAAGTGAACATAGATGAGGACCAAAACTCCAAGCTAAGGATGACAATATTGAAAATCAGTACAATTTTTGGTTATTAAAAAACCAGGCATTTTGGTCAGATTAAACTTCAGTTTCCGTGCTCAAGGTAATAGTTTTACATTACCAATCATGTCTTATATTCAATTTTTTTTTCCACTTCGTTGGTAACATTTAGGTTGGCACCTATTTGCAGATTGGAATTTTGGGTTTGAGAAGGGAAAAACTCATGCATGCAAGCCTCTTACTATTCATCTCTCAATCTGCATTATGTAGTGTATTCTTTTATGTGAGTAAAATAAATTAAACATAAGGCTTACAAACATACTTTACAATTGAAAGATAATTTTTTTGAAATGATCTAAAAGGGTACAGGCATTAAAAAAATAATAATAAAAAAAATAAGGGTAAAGGCATAGAATGATACAACAAGATTGAACTTGTTATTAGGATTTCAATGATGTTTAAAGATTAAAAGAAATAAGGTTTTATTATATATATATATATATATATATATATATATATATATATATATATATATATATATATATATATATAAGTATTAATCTTGATGGTTCCCTATATCAGGGGATGACCAAATAACTAAAACCTTAGACAATAAAACATAACAAAAGAAAAAAGAAGCAGTAAGTAGGAAAAACAAACTAAACAACAAAGCTTCATGAAGCTTGGCAAAAAGATATAAAAAATCAGTCGATTGGCAACCATCAAGAACCGCACCACCAAGGAAGACAGAGCCCAAAGCAAAAGCGGCTGAGCAAATCAAGGAATGAAACAACAGATTACAGAGAAAGGAATAAAAAATATAGAAACCTTGTATTTGGCAAGCAGATTAAAGGACAGAGCTTAATAATGGCTTGAATATAAACACCAACCTAAAGTACTACCTCCGTTTCATATTATTTGCATCTTTGAGGTTTTATTTGTGAAATAAAAAAATTAAACAGAGGTAGTAAGATAATTTCATAAGCCAGCATGGCAAAGATCAGGCCAATTTCAATCAATTGAACTCGGAAGGTCTGCAATTAATTGACAAGGAAAAAGAGAAAAAGACCAAAACTTGTTGACATGCTGATTGAAGGACAGAACTTAATAATGACTTAAACATCAAAACTAACCTAAAATAAAATAATTCCATAAGTCAAACATAGGCAAAGATCATGCCAATATTAATCAATTGGATTCAGAAGGTTTTTGTCGATGACTGCACGGAATAATCAGTTTTGGTTCATGTAGCCGACCCCACTTATGGGATTAAGGCTTTGATTGATTGATTGATTCAGAAGGTCTAAAATTAATTGACAAGGAAAAAGAAAAAAAAAAAAAAAAAAACTTTGAACAAAGCCTCAATACGCAGGGTCATATAATTGTTTCATGGCATCAATGGATTCTAGGTTAAACAAGCAAGGAGGCCCTTGTTTGAATTAAAAAAAAAAACTATCCAATCTAAAAATAAAATAGGGATGGAGGAATTAAATTCATGCAATATGGAGTTGCAAATGCCTTTAGATCTGGAAAATTTTCGATGAGAAAATCATAATATTATCAGTAAATTAAGGGACAAAGGAAGGGAGTTATAGAGAAAGACAAAGTGAATAGCAAAGAAGAAGGAAAGTAAAGAAAAAAAATCCTAATGTAGAAAGCTTCTCTCTTGTTCTTTCTTGCATCATATTTGATGAAACATACACTGATTATTTATTTATTTATTATTTTTTTTTGTCACAAGTGCTACAAAGAAAGGCGAAGTAAACAGGAGTCCATTCAACTGATTAACTTTTTTCTTTTTTTTTTTTTTTTTTTTTTTTGGCACAGGACATTACTAAGAAAATTTTGAATAGTTGACGAGAGGACAACATAATACTCCCTCCGTGTTTAAATAAATGAAACGTTTTCCTTTTCGGGCCGTATTTAAATTAAATAAATGAAACTTTAATTTTTTAGTTACTTCTCTCTATTTTTTAATAATTTCTCATTAACTTATGGTCCCACAAAACCCCTTAATTGCTTCTCTTTCCTCAAACTTATACCCCACTACCTATTATTTTAATAAATTCAACTAGCCTTCTTAAAACTCCATGAAAGTCAAAACGTTTCATTTATTTAAACATGGAGGGAGTAAGTAAATTAATACATCATGTCAAAAGAAATAATAACAGGGTAGATAAGTAGATTAAAGTATTTAACATGTCCGGATACACATACTTTTGTAAACATACAAACACTAGCATATGACTATACATCAATGAAAGTAATAGAGCCAATAACCTGTCTTATGACATCATTAAGACCGGGACAAAGGCCTCCACAAGTTACAATTGCTGCTTTCACCTTCATAGGCTCAAAGTATATATCCTTACGTGGACCTGCACGGTGTACCCTAGAGAAATGATAAAATTTAGTACCCAAGCAACAACAATTGACTATCTATGCAGAAATTGCCAAATTATCAGTAAGCAACAACTAATTAAGCCAAAAGCAAAGACAAAAATAAAGTAACATACAATTCCAAACAAGTTCAACTCATGCAAGCAAAAACACCATAAACTAAGAAATACATAATAGAATGAGTGTTGGATATATGATAGAGAAAAAAGATATGCTAAAGACACCGGAATGAATGATTGACAATTCACTGATTGGAGTGAACTATCAAACTCAATAGAAATTTTATTTTTCTTGTCTAAAAGGAACCTTAAAAAAGAAATTAACAAAAAGAAGATAGCATCCAAGAACTTGAAGGAATAAGTAACCTCCAAATAACAAAACTAACAATGCAATGAAGTCCTTGCTTCTAAGAATTACAAAACTTATTCTGCAACTAGTATGTAAGTTTGGGTGCACTTGAGTCTCCTAATTCTTCTTGTTTCAATATGAAACTCAGTTCTAAAGACGGTAAATAGATGACAGATATTAAAATTCATGTCTCATGTGCCATGAAATCAATCAATCAAAGCCTTAATCCCATAAGTGGGGTCGGCAACATGAACCAAAAGTGACTATTCCGTATAGTCATCCACAAAAATCTTCCTCCTCCATCTCTTACGATCAAATACCTCATTCTCATGCAAATCCATTTGCCAAATTATCAGGAATGCATCGGTCACATAACACTCCCTTAGTCGCTCTCTATTTAAGCCACCCCGACTTAAGCATGTGTGCCACGTCTTGAATCTTGATCGATGTCACCATTCTTCTGGATGATAGACCCAATATATTTAAAACACTCACTCGTGGTCAAATCATTTCCGTCCAAACTCACTACATCATCGCTTGCCCCCCTCTGTGTATCAAAGCGGCACATCAAATATTCAGTCTTACTCTAGTCTAATCATGTGCCACGGAAACCCAAGTCTAAAATCATAATCTAGTGAGCCATGTTATCTTTCTCAACTACATTTGCCTAATAACCATTTTTGTTGCAAGCAACACTATTGCAGACCTTTTCCATCTGCAACTTTATTCATTAATGTTAGTTTCTTGGGTTTCTTAAGTTAGTGTAGTAGATTAAAAATAAGATTATGTATTGTTTCTTTCCAGGTCCACTTTCAATGGAATCAACCAATGATTTAATATTAATTGGCTTTTTAATAATAATGGACTAAACAAAATGGTTTATTAAATTGAGAAGCAAAACTCGTAGTTGCACATTAAATCAATGATCAATTAGAAACAACCTTTTTCATGGAAGGAGGTGTTGTGTAGATTTGATGATTTTCATCTCCCTTTCCTGGGAAAAGAAAGGCATTTGAGGCATTGGAGACTTGGAGTAATGTTGACACTGACAATTGTTTTTTTTTTTTAGTCATGTTATTTACATTATAAGAACTACGCATTTACTCCCTCTAATCCTATTTGTTCTTCCCATTTGGAGTCGGGGACTATATTAAGAAAAGAAAATCTTAATGAGAGAGTATCAATTAAAATAATTAAGATTCCAAATTTCACATTATATAGTTTTCAAAACAAAAAAAAAATTAAAAGAAAAAAAAAAGGGACAAGGTAATTAATGTGATGATTCATAAAAGAGAACGATGATTTAAAATTGGAATCATGCATGAAGAAATTCAATTAGTGGAAGTTGTTTAGGAAATTGTACGGAAAAGAAATAAAGGTACAAATTTTGGCATATTCACTAAATTAATAGGGGAAATTTGATGGTAATTTTTTACCATATACAAGAAGATTCTAAATAAGAAGAACATTGTGAACCTTCCTAATAGGGAAATGGGAAGATCAATAGGATCGGAGGGAGTACTAATTACTATAAACTCTCGTTACTAGATAAGTTTAAAAAAGATGAGTGGATGAGTAAGAAAGTACAAAAAAATTAAAGTAAAGATGGAGTAAAAACGTGGGTGGGTTAAACAAAAAGGAAAGTAAGAGAAAGTGGAATGGTGTAAATATAGGGTAAAGGGGATAAGATGGTAAAAGGTGTTTGCCAAAATTCAAATGAAGTAGCAGTAGGTAAAATAAAAGAAGAAACATCAACTATTTGAAAAGAATCAAGATTCTTATAAAACTACTACTCCTTAAACTATGCCTGACCATGATTTACCCTAACAAGTCCATATGATGGGTCACCTTCAGCCACCAAGACTAATTTGAAAAAATTGAAATTAATCCAATAATGAGAAAGAGAAAATAATGTTAAGCAGTCGAATGGTACAAGTAGACCAGGCAAACGGGTCGTTCGGGTCGGGTCAGTTTCGGGTCAATCAATATTCGGGCTGGGTTCGGGTCGGGTCAATTTGGGATTCGGGCCGATTACGGGTCAATGATTATTCAGGTAGGGCGGGTATCGGGTCAACACTCCGGGTCGGGTCGATCTCGGGTCGGGTCATTTCGAGTCGAGTCAGTTTTCGGGTCCAAATGTCGGGTCAAGTTTGGGTCGGGTCAAATTTGGGTCGAGTCAAATTTAGGTCAGGTTGAGTTTGGGTCGGGTCAATTCGGATCGGGTCAATCTTCGAGTCCAGTTGTCGAGTCAAGTTATGGTCGGGCCATTCCGATTAGGTCAGGATTGCCAAGTCTAGGTACAAGGCATTGAGATAGCATCCATACCACAAATTCCATAAGATAACAAGATGAAGTCTACAATTTTGAAACATGACCAGCATGAAATAAACAAACAGGTGCTGTTCAAGTAAGCTGAAAAAGGCACTTTTTTTTTTGTATAAACGAGTTTGATAAGAGTGTAGCTGATGAAATGCATACGGAGATCCATCAAACATTATGGCTGGAAATAAGAGATTAACTCCAGATTAACCAAGTCCTTAGCATATGTTGCCAGAAGGGGATCTAGCCTTCAGGACCAACATAGTTGCTTCCTATTTATGTCCAATAAAAAAAAGGTACTGTTTAATGCTCATTCACCTTTTATGTCATAGATCATAATCTTTATGAAGCATCATGCTACCATGGTACCACCTGACAATGTGGGAAAAGCTCTCTCTTCTGGTCAAAACTTCCATTCATTGTTATTTTCAAGTAATTACTTATTCTCAAGTAGGGAGAAATTCAGAACTCCTATGTCATTCTTATCTGTTTGAAGCAAATTGTAATCTTAGAATCAGAAATTATAATGCATGTTACCATCCATCTCTTATATTTGTAATTCCTTGACTCCCATTTTCATCTACAGTTTAAGTTATGCATTACAAAATTTTCAGAGCAGAAAGAATATTGAATTCAAAATTCCTCAAATCAAGTATGTTTTGAAAACTCATTAAACAGAAGGAGATGTAATGGAGATTCGAAGCACAGATATTTAGTAAAATAAAGGAATATAGAGAAATCTTAGTGTATTTGGGAATATAAATGAAAAATATAAAAATTGTAATTGTTTGGAGTAGAATATTCATATCCATGCCTAATTATGCTGATTAGTCAATAGATGATTCTAATGAGATAAGTAAGTTTTTAAGATCCCGTGAGATGGATGGAGAAAGAAAGATCATCCTCTGAAACCTCACTTAATGAGTTAATGGGGTCATGTTACGATTCTTCCTTCAATTCATTTTTAGCCTAAATTTCTGAAAATCCACACCAGCCTTCACATATCTTCATAGGGCATTAGAAGAAAACTTTTAAGAAGTTTAAACCATCTAACACATGTCTCACTGATTTATGCTGCTTAAAAGCCAATTCTTTGTCTTGCAATCCTTGTTGATTTTAACTGTAATTGTATGGGCTACAAATGCACCATAACATCTTCGTTTCTTTAGCTCCCACCTTGCAAACGTGAAGCTTCTGCAGCCTATAACAATCACATAGTTTTTTTTTTTTTTTTAGATGTTTAGGAGAATTCACATAGCATTACAGAATTTATAGCTTTCCTGTATTATTCTCCTTTGAGCGTGACCATTATTAGTATTTTTATTTCATATTAAACGCACAATGCACATCTTCTTTTATCAAAGCCTAGTATAGCGTGATGAATGAGATCTACATGTAGATACACACAAACACAAATATTAGACAAGAAAGTACATAGCTTTATCAATTCCACAAAGGGGCTTTGGCATATCTTTTCCAGTTCCAGTTTCCCAGTAAATAATTTGTTAGCACTCAGCAGCATGGTAAGATTTAACTAAGAAAATTTCAAGATCGCACCATGGAGATCATAAAGTCTAGAAACTTAACAGATTGAAAATTTTGAATATGGAATTATGTATACTTAATCAAATTCATACTTTTTAATACATAAGTAATATTATTCAAAGCAGGCAACATATAATTAAAAGAAGGGAAGATAAAAACAAAAACATAAATTGCACAATCATAATATTTACCATTGTTCCACCCATGTGCAATTAGGATCAATGCACTCAGCTCCAGCAGAAGTTGGTGAGGCATATTTGATCACCTTAAAAAATAAAATAAAATAAAAAGTCAAATAATAAATAAATTTCCTGAGTAGCAATTGTAAAAACGCGAAAATGAATTCATATTACCAGCATAATAATAAGCTTTGAAGTTATTTGATAGTAGCAAATCGTTGTTGGATTTCAAATAAAAAAACTAATGAGATTTATATAATGAGCATTTTCTCAACTCTCACCACACTACTTTTTAATAATGATATAGATTAAACAAAACAAACCAAGCAAATAACATCCCCAAATATGGATTCCTAGAACATTTAAGACCCCTCGAAAGAAAGCTATTGAACTTTTATCACATTCTTATGATGTAGGCAATTAGCAAAATTCTAAGGTTTTGGCTTCCCATATATAAAAACTCACTAAAAGGGGAAAAAAAATACCTTTAGCAGCGTCCTATCATCATTGTCAACATAATCATTTTTCCGATCCTTTGGTTTTTCAGCACTATCAATGACATTTTCCTTTCCTGCCCAACGTGCACCTTCCCTATCACCACCCAAAAATTCATCAACACACAACACATCACGAAGACAACTTAAAATAAACCAAAGTGCACTAGCCAAAGTTCAAATCTATTGCATTCTAATGCATGAAATTCGATAATGTGTCAATCATATTCGAAGTAAATCAGAAAAAAATAATCACCTCTTCATAAGGGAAAACGTACTTGGCCTCGGCTTCACATCCAAAATATCTTTCAAATGTGGCAAATTAAACTTAGACTCAAAATCCTTCTGATACTTAGTTTTCCATTCAGGATCACTAAAATGAATATCCGAACTCTCGGCTACAATACTACATGCTCCAAATCTCTTCTTCCTACTACTAATATGTCTTCCCAGCCACTTAAAACTCAAACTTCCGTAATACAATTGCCGGTGTTGATCTCGGTTCGATAGAGAAACATGTGAACTTATATTACTAAAACATACATTATTCATTGATGAAACAGAAGCCATTGATTGTTAAAACCCTACACAATTAAAAATCAAACAACAATCACAAATTTTAACAGAAAATTGAAGAACAACAAAACAACTCTTAATAATATAGATAACATAAATAAATAAATCACAGAAATTAGCATTATGCTTACAAAGGAGCTAAATTTATCAATAAATTCAATAATGGACAATCATTCAGCATATTATAAAATAATAAAATCAAATAAAAACAACAGAATTTACCGATTGAGTGAATTAACATCAAAATTAAACAATCTAAATTAAAGGATACAATTTATAGGTTTTTTAATCGAAATTTCATATAACTGATTCCTAACAAAATAAATTAAAATAAAAATTGTAGTCGAAAAAATTAATAAATTGAGAAATGTTGAAATTGATACCTGAGAAAAATAGCAGGGAGAAGAGTCAGGATGGTGGTTCGAGATTTTAGTTATGGAAGTAAAGAGTATGTAGTAGAACAATGGAGTAACAGAAAAACTGATCTCAAGGTCAATGGAATATGATCCTTTTTATTTTTATACAGTATTTATTTTGAAGGGGGAAAATCAAATAGTGAGTTGTAGAATATTGTAGTCTCTTAAGAAAGTTTGAAAGGGCATGCCTTTCTTTGGCTTTTCAGGTCAACGCGTGACAAAAATCAAATTAGAAGGCTAGGTATTTTACGAGTACAAAGCTAAAACAGGCTTGTATGGACCCGGTCCGTATAAAATTATTGGAGTAAAGCATAATTGAGGGGACTGAAGTTTGATGTTTGTCAAAAATAGGGGACTCAACTTTCCTTTAATTTTCTTTTTTTTTTTTTTTTTTTTTTTGGGTAAATGGGACTTTTATGTGTGACAGGTCACACCGTGTGGCCAATTATTATGGGGGTTACTTTGTTAGTGCTATATGGGTTACTCACTCGGTCAGGGATTACTAAGTCAGTCATGGGTTAGTTGGTCGATTAGGGGTTACTCGGTCAGTCAGAAGTTACTAAGTCGGTCATGGGTTACTCGGTTTGGGGTTACTTGGTCTGTCAGGAGTTACTCGTCAGTTAGGAGTTACTTGGTGTGTGTCAGATGGCCACACGGTGTAGCCAGTCGCACACAAAAGTTGTTGTTTGAAAGAGGGGACTCAAACAAGTTCGCTGGCTAAGGTAACTTGCAGTTCCCGGTTAATGAAAATAATTTGTTTTTTTTATTTTTTATATATCACTAACATGACTTGAAAAGCATTGAAAAAGCACAATATTTCTGTTAATGCAAAGTAGTCGTTAGGATTGAAATGCTCTTTATTTAAATATGAGTTTGATACAAAAACATAATGTTCAATTTAGTCCAATTGGGCCTAGGCATTAAATGATCCAATTAAAAGCCCAAGGTCAAGGTTCAACTCTCCAATTGTGCTAAAGTCAAAGGTCAGCCCTCAAAGCAAGCCAATTGGGCTAAGGCCCAACCTCTCCATGTATGAAGAGGTATAAAAGCCATCAATATTCATACATTCAGGTATTGATTCACAGATTCACATATTCTCATAGATTCCCATACATTCTCATATATTCAAGCAAAGCCTCAAGCAACTAATTCTCTTGCATAATGTTCTCTTTCTACACATTGTACTGACTTTAGCATCGGAGGGGCCTTCCTCGGCAACACCCCCGAGGCTAGTTTACGTGTGTTTACTGTGCAGGAAACCTTCGGCCCAACATAACTTGGACCGAATCCAGTCTTCTCCGTTTCAGCGGACCTTCGGCAAGGTCCCATTGTTTTCACCCGAAACAATTTGGCGCCGCCTGTGGGGAAGACTTTCAAAAATCTTTAAGCCAAATTTCTAACCATGATCATCTTGCAATTATCTTAGTAGCAATGGCTAAGAACCGCAAGAGCAAAAGCCTCCGTCAAGGAGCGGGCGAAAAGCCTAAAACCCCCACACCATCACCCTCGCCGGACCGGAACTCTCCCAAGGGTGCCAGCTCGGGGGGAGGATCATACAAGGAGGATTCCCTTTCTCCCGTAATTCATGACTCTCATTATAGGCCGAGTCACTCTCGGTCTAGCAGGGGTGAGTCCGATCATAGGACACATTCAGTGCCCCAAAGCCAACCATCGGATGTGCGCCCTCATTCCCATACTCGGCCGAGGACCCCTTTGACGGGGCCCAGCTCGGAAGAGGTGGCAAGAGCACTGGCAGTGCTCATGGAGGCGATGAGGGCACAAAATATGCCACCACCTCGTGATCGAACTCCTCCGCATACCCGGCATCAGCGGAGGAAGTTAGACCATGATGGTGGGAAGCTTCCTTCCTTTCGGGAACTGGAAGAGTGGGAAGAGGATTCCTGGAAAAATGAAAAAGAGAGGAAAAAGAACCCTCAATTTTTAAAAGGATCCTCATCCTCAAGACCAGAAACGCATAAGAGCAACAGCTCAGCTTCTCGGCCAGAATCTACTCACCGAGAACCTGAGACTGTTCGCCGAAGCGTCCTTGACCGACTCGGCGGCAAGGAACCGAGCGTGCGCAGTCGCCTCTCGTTCCCTGCAGCCGAGGCCCAGACTTCCCAGCCAGGGACGAAAACCACTCCTACCTCTCTAAGAGGGCGGAGCGCGGTCCCTTCGGCCAGGAACAAGGGCAAGGCCGTTATGCTACCCGCCAGTTCACCATTCGAGCAATGGATACTGGAAGAGCGCGTACCCACGGTTAAAATACCGTCGCACATCACATATGATGGGACCTCGGATCCGAAGGATCACGTGGCCTCGTATGAGACTCATATGCATCTTTGCCCCAGATCTGAAGCGACTTGGTGCAAATATTTCCCAACCACTCTCAAGGGGGTCGCGCAAGCGTGGATCTCCAAGGGAGTAAGGCAAGGCTCCATAACAGGGTGGGATGATCTTTCCTCCAAGTTCAGGAGCAAGTTTTCCACGGCTAACCGCCGAGAGAAGACTACTGCAGAGCTCATGAGTCTACAACAGGGGGAAACCGAAAGCCTCCGAGACTATCTGACCCGTTTCAGTAACGAGTCATCCAGCGTCTCTCAGCTGGACCAGGGGCTAGCCGTTTTTGCAATGCAGAATGGCCTTCAGCCCGGAAAGTTCCTAGATTTCATGGTCATGCATACCCCGCAGACCTTGGAGGAAGCTCTGAATGCCTCGGACAAGTTCATCCGAGCCGAAGAATGGAACAAAGAGAAAACCCAACCTCAATTTGGGGGAGGGAAACAAAGACAAATACCCTTGTCTGAAGGCCAAGGCCATAAGGCAAAGGGAAAGTCAAAGGCCTCGGAGCAATCTTTGGCCAGCGACCCAAAGAAGGAAAGATATGCCTCATACACAGGCAGATACGAGTCCTACACTCCGCTCTCTCTTCCACGCGCCAAAATTTACAGCGTGACGAAGGAGGAGCAGAGTTACTGAAAGCCGAGACCACTCCGAGAGTGGTATCAGCGAAAAAATAAAAATCAGTGGTGCGAGTTCCACGAGTCTTCGGGACACAACACTGAGGAGTGTATCCAACTGAAGGGCCAGATAGAGGACATGGTCCGGAAGGGATACTTGAACAAATACATCGCGGATCACCGCGAGAAAAAAGAATCCGAGAAGTCAGCAAAGGACTCTCGGCAAGACCTCGACTTCCCCCGGAAGAACAGTAAAAAGCAGGAGGGGAAATTCCCTCCGATCAATGTTATCTCGGGAGGAATAGACTCTCGGAGGGAGCACAAGCGACACCTTAGAGCTTTGACTCACCAGGTGAATAATGCTGACATTCAATCTCCCCAGTCGCCGGTGCCGAACATGACGTTCACAGCCGCCGACTGCCAGGGGATAGCGTTCCCTCACGAGGATCCGTTGGTGATCATCGCCACGGTGGCCAACCACGACGTCAGTAAGGTCCTTGTTGACGGTGGCAGCGGAGCAAACATTCTGTTCCGAAAGGCCTACAATCAAATCAAGCTGAAGCCCAAGCATCTTACGCCGGTACCCTACCCGGTATCCGGGTTCAACGGGGCTTCAACTTATCCAGATGGGAAGGTGACACTTCCTGTCACCATCGGCTGCGATGAGGCAGCCAGGAACGTCATGATTGAATTTTTGGTAATTGACGCTCCTTCAGTGTACAACGTGATTTTGGGGAGACCCATAATTCATGAGATCCAAGGGGTCGTCTCAACTTATCATCAGCTGATGATTTACGTCTCAGACGCCGGCTTCCCCGAAAGGATACAGGGCAACCAAAAGGACGCCCGAAGGTGCAACTACCTCAAACCATCCAATAGTCGCCCAGATGACAAGGATGAGGAGGAGAAAGAAAAAGAAAGAGAGCCGAGCACAAAAAAGCCGAAAGGCCTAAGTGCTTCGGCCCAAGGATCTGTACCCAGAGGTAAAGGGCCCGAAAGGGAAAAGGCTAGCTCTTCAGCTGAGCCGCAAGACTCAGAGAGCCAGCCGAAGAACAAAAAGACTGGGACACCTGCCGACATTGGCAGCAGGCCAGATTATGAAGAGTCCAGTCCATCAACAATGGACATGGACCAACGGACTGAAACAGTTGAGTTGGCCGAAGGAGACGTTGAGAAATGTGTAACAATCGGGATGGACCTTGATCCGAACACCCGTTGTGAACTTATTCAGCTCCTTCGGGACAACAGAGATGTGTTTGCTTTCTCGGCAGCTGATATGCCCGGGATAAGTTCAGACCTCATCTCCCATAAGCTTAATGTTGACCCGACGTGTCGACCAGTTAAGCAAAAGAAGCGGAATTACTCCGCCAATAAGAACCGAGACATCGCAGCCGAGGTCAAAAAATTGTTGGAGGCAGGATTCATCGAACCTTGCCAATATCCAGAATGGCTGGCAAATGTGGTGATGGTTCAGAAGCCCAATGGTACCTGGAGGATGTGCGTTGACTTCACGGACCTAAATAAGGCTTGTCCAAAGGATTTCTATCCCTTGCCGAGGATCGATCAGCTAGTCGATTCGACAAGTGGCCATGCCTTGCTTAGTTTCATGGACGCATTCTCGGGGTATCATCAGATCTTTATGCACCCCGACGATCGAGCAAAGACAGCATTCGTCACGAACGCTGGGGTGTACAATTACAAAATGATGCCCTTCGGATTGAAAAATGCGGGGGCAACCTATCAAAGGCTGGTGGATCAAGTTTTCGCCGATCAAAAGGGCCGAAACATGGAAGTCTATGTTGACGATTCGATCGTCAAAAGAAAAAAACCAGAGGACCATGTAAAGGACCTGGCTGAAACTTTCGCCACCTTGAGAAAGCATCAAATGAAGCTGAATCCGAAGAAGTGTGTCTTCGGCGTGAAGTCAGGGAAATTCCTTGGGTTCATAGTCAGCAAAAGGGGGATTGATGCCAATCCCTCTAAAGTCAAAGCGGCGCTCGACCTTCCTGAGCCGAAAACGAAGCGGGATGTTCAGCGGCTCACCGAAAGAATGGCAGCCCTCTCGAGGTTCATTTCCAGAGCTTCGGATAAGGGGTTACCTTTCTTCAAAGCCCTGAAACTCCCGAAAACAAAAGAGCTCGTTTGGGAGGAAGAGCAAAAAGACGCCTTTAAACAGCTTCGGGAGCATCTGGCTCAACTCCCAACGCTGGCTAGCCCAGCTGAAGGAGAAACTTTGTACCTATATGTGGTCGTTAGCCCAGCCACCATCAGCGCAGTATTGCTGAAGGAAGAAAGTAAAAGTCAGCAACCGATCTACTTCGTCAGTCATACACTGACGGATGCCGAGACTCGCTATCCTCTACTCGAGAAAGTTGCTTTCGCGGTAGTAGTAGCTGCTCGGAAGCTGAGGCCCTATTTTGACTGCCATCAGATAGTGGTCTTAACTGATCAGCCGTTGGAAAAAGTTCTCGGCAAGGTTGAAAAATCTGGTAGGCTAGCCAAGTGGGCTTTTGAGCTCACCAAATTCAGCATCAACTACCGTCCGAGGGCTGCCATTAAGGCTCAAGCTCTAGCGGATTTCTTAGCCGAATGCTCATACCAAGAAGCGCTAGACAGTGAAAAGAAAGTCTGGACCGTGTTTACGGATGGATCTTCCACCGAAAACGGTTCGGGGGCAGGAGTAGTGATAACTTCTCCCGAAGGCAAATCCTTTGAGTATGCACTAAAGTTTTCTTTTAAGGCCTCGAACAATGAAGCCGAGTATGAGACAGCAATCGCCGGCCTAGAATTGTGCATCTCCCTGGAAGCCGATCATGTCTGCCTAAAAACAGACTCTCAGCTAGTTGCATATCAGATCAGTGGCAGCTACGAGGCCAAAGAGCCCTCCATGATAGCTTATCTTGCCAAGATCAAATCAGTCATTGCAGAGCTGAAAAC